ATTCAGTTACCCCTTTTCTCTATTTGGCGCTGCTACACATATGTAATCGCATTATGAAATGGCGCTCTTCAACACCAAATTCATCTTGATCCTCTAGCTAGCTTTCTGCAAAAGTGGTTATGTGGTTAATTGGAAATTCGTAACTATATCGATTATCTACTGTATACTACTATCAGAAAGAGGCAGAGACAAAATGATTGATACCAGCTATTTCAGTTTTATTTTGGCTAGTTCAAAATGATTTCACCGGACTTTTGTGCTGATCAGATTACGGCAGAAACTTGACTATCGTGAGAACACTCACTTACTTGATTATTTTGCTACACTCTACTACTGCTTTCGACATTATAACCTGGGTGAGCTTTCATGAGTTAAACGAGGTACGCATGGTTTCGCCCATTCGCCTTGGTCTCACCCTTTCATATCAAATTCCCATTAACAGAAATTGAAAGTTCGAATTGCCATGATATATTTATGCCTATCAATCTCAACTTTACCACCTATTCTGTGAGTGCCTTCCATGTAAATACAAGTATATAAGCCTATCTTCAAGGCTGGCTCATGATCAAAAAACATTGGCATCTGACAGTCTTTACTAACCAACGATGTAATGGTAGCTAACAAGGGAAGGATACCAACATTAGTTGGAAATGAAGATGAGATGTACATCATTAGGTGCGCCTTTGAACGCTGATTTCAAATCTGCTTTCCTTTTCTGCGGAATAGGTTTGCGAAAGAAGTCATGAGCGTTTAAATGTCCAATTTGCCAAGCATTGAGTGGCTTAAAATCAGCGAAAAGCTCTACAACAATACCTATGCAATTTCCACCAGCTTTGTTCTTTCCTTGCCAGCAATATACTCGATACAAAAATGATTTTCCACTTTCCGGTGTTTATGTACAGCTTTTCCGCCAATTTTAGACCACCTAAACCTTGACAAATTTGGACATTTGAACGCCCACAACTTCTTTCGGAAACTTATTCCGCAAAAGGAAAGCAGATTTGGAATCACCGTTTAAAGGCGCGTCAACTGACATATATCTCATCTTCAATCGCCGACTAATGTTGGTATCCTTCCCTTGTAAAGCAGTCAAATTTGGATGCTGTAATCTCGATATCATTCATTGATGGGTGGTATCATTCCGGTTTTCATACTTTCCTGAATGAGTGTTGCTTGAGATATTTTACCAGTTCTGATCTCAAGTTTCTGTCTAGATTTAGTATGTTTTTTCCTACTTTTTCCTTACTGACTGATATTTAGTTGTTCTGCTGTTTTATGATAGGCGCACTTCTTGTGCATTCAATAAGTAAATAAATAAGTAAATACAGAAACGATGCTCTTATGCTTTTATAGATCTTTTATTACGCTTGCTGATTTACGATGGTGAGCCAAAACATCACTGTGCTAGTATTTTGCATGATGGACCTATCTGACATTGTTAACTTCATGTTATTGCTAACATCAGAGACACCTTGATAATCCCCCTCTCCCTGACCCCTCAAAGGCAGTGTCCCGGCAGATTCGGGTCCTGGGGATATACGTGTGGTGGGGTCCCTGGTCACCCCATCGACCTCCAGGCGCACTCCGGCTGGGTGATGTTCCCCCTGGGCCGAGAAAATGGCCCCTGAACCGGCGCGCGCAACCCCAACTGGCGCGCGCTTGGACGGCCTTCCCCGCCTGTTCGGCGCGGGACCCCACGAGCGCTCTCCCCCATGACGCATGCTATCCAAAGCAAGAATTACAGGCGGCAGGATCTTCGTCTGAGGACCTCCCCCAACTTTCCATTAAAAATCTCGTCCAAGCTGCTTTTCTGGAATTAGGAAAACGCCCCAAAATCGACCTTTTCAGCCCGTTCAAAGCTCAAATTCGGATTCTACGTGGCAAAAAGGCCTAAAACATGCAAAAAGGTAGAGGTGCAAAATCTGCCGGGACACTGCCTTCAAGGCATGCTACATCCCACGCTTCTTGACCCTGGATCCGGGTTTCCCTACCTCACCTCTGCTTTTTTTTTTGCAATAAGATTTGAAAAAAAGCAAATCCCTCGACATAACCAACACACTAACGATCATGCAAATTTTTAGCTGTCTGCCTTTTGGGACCAAAATCATTTGCGAAAAAGGCAACATTTTTTAGATTAAAATCACGCATACTGTCATCCAGAGCATACTTATAGCAACAATGAGCTAATGATAAAAAAGGACGTTGTTTCTAAATTTAGCGTAAAAGAATACTTGCGGAGTGAGCTTCTGCAAGTGTAGTTGCCATTTTGAAGGAATTCACGCCTTAACACACCATGTGTGTCAAACGATCGTCAATGTATTGAAGCTATTTCCATGAAATGACAGAAATTTCAAGGCGACCTAGTATAACGGTCCCTCTTCATTTAGTCCTGAAGTTGATTAAGATCACATGCTATATTGAGGGCTCAGAACGACATTGTGTAGGTAATAATCAAACTAAGCTTAATCAATAATTATAAAAGTTTTATTCACTGATAAATTCTACGAATATCCTCCAACATGCCTGACTTCCTCCGGACAAGATAACGAAAGAGGGTGGGTGTGTCCAGTTCGTTTTCATGAATACAAGCTAGTTGTTCTAACCTGGTGCTTCGTGAATTCCTTCATACTATGGGCATCAAATTTGTGCCAACGCCAATATAAGTGGGTTTTGCTAATTGAAAAAAAAGAAGAAGAAAAGATCGTCAGACCTTGAACGACAATAATGGAAGCGCAAACATCGTGTATCGCAAACATCGGTCATATGCAAGCGTCTTTGAAAGATGGTGGTTTTCGAAGAACTAAGTAGCCAAAGTAGTTTTAATTCAGAGACATGTCCCGCGATACTTGCCATATTGAAACGACTTGACATCCATGGCAGCCAAGAATTGACTCCGCGTGGGACCGTTTGACACACATGGTGTAAGGCTTGAATTTCATGAATTTCATTGAAATAACGATCATCTTGGGACAAGCTCACTTCTTCAGATCTAGAAACAGTCTCCATTTTTTGCCAGCCCCTCGGAGCTACTGTAGGTATTCTGTAGAGGGTAGTTGGCGCAGTTTTGTTCGAAAAGAATTTGGACTGCTCCTGAACTTGGTCCCAAAAGGCAGACAACTAAAAATTTGTAAGGTCGTCAACGTGTTAAAATGTCCGGCTAAAAGTCAGCATCCAAGCAAACTTTCGACATTCGTTTTTTTTTCATTTTAAAGTCTTTTCATGACTTTCATTCCGAATCCAAACTTTAAGCCTCTTGAAAATCCGAAAACCCCATCTTGGGAACCCTATTCTGATAAGCGCGGACCAGTACTCCGACGGTGGTTTGTTGCGGTGCAACGTGAAAACATTACTCCGACAGGTATATAGGTAGTTCATGTCTATCACGTAAGTCCTTTCTCAGACAATTATTGCGACCACCCGCGGAAGGGCGCCGGCCGACATTTTATCCATGCCGCGGGTGGTGGAATAAACGCACGCCAAGCTCCGAAAATCTACCCGCGAATGCGCCGATAAGCGCCCAAACGAAACCCGCGGATGTTCCGGTAATCAAACCGAAATTGCGCGATATGCGTCCGCGGGTGGCCCCATAAGCACCAGCTAAACGCGAAAATATTTCCATGGAAATCTATATACTCGTATTCTCATCCTTCTACCTCGCACAGAGGCCACGATTTACACCGAAATTTGGCCCAGGGCCCTATTGAGCATCGACTTCGTTGCTAGTCATAAGATGAACTCAGATATCGAAAGACCAAAGCGCGGGCATCTATATCTCTATTTCGCGTATCTCGCGCGGGCAACGTTTTTGCTTCCAGTGTGTAAGAATTGTGGCGTCCAGCAGGGACCGGGGCTCGCCAGAATGGTTCTGCCGGGCCGTCACCTAAAGGGCCGCGGCTTGTCCGATAACCAAAAAAGGTGTTCTGATAAAACAGTTATGACCCGCGGCCTTTCCCTCGCGACTGTATTGAGCCGCGGGTTGCCAAACAAATAAATCTAGGGCCGCGGAGAGTCAGTCCAAGAATTTAGCGCCTGCGCACCGCCAAAAAGCGACGGTAGGGGCCGCGGATGCTCGCAACAACTGTCTGAGTTCGCGTACGAGCTACGCATACGCAACGCGAAGGCCTTGCGTGCGGACACTCAATCAATGAGGCCAATCTGAACGCTCAAGCCACACGCGACCTGGCGCGAAGTTCTGATGTGGGGGTTGCGCTTACGGAAAACGGTGCACATGACTGACAGAGACTGTACATGCAGGTGCAATGTGGAAGTGGCGCGCAGATTTACGCTCGTACGCGCAAGTGTGTTGGGGAGCAGAAAGTATTGGTGAAGCAGCTGTTAAAGCCTTAGAGGTTGCACTGCTGATGATTTGTTTTCGCTGAGGGGGTGAGGGCTCTTGTACTAACCTGGACTGAGCCGATTTTGCCCGGACGCTGCCTTTAGACTTGCAAGAACGACTAAAGCACGCACGTTCACCATGGTATTATTGAAATGAGGTACAAAAGACCGGTCTTAGGCGTATCTTACGCGGTTTCGAGCATGAGGAATCCTCGCGTCCCTTGCTTGTGTATGTCTAGAATCCCTTTTCTTCTGGAGTCTGCTTTGCTTTTTATACTCACCCAATTGCCCTATGTGCCACCAGTGCCTAGCCCCTATTTCACTGAACAAAACCTGCTCCATAGAGCCCTGTTCAACTTGTGACCTCTTCGTTATTTGTTCGTAATTTCAGAATGTGTTCGGTGTAGGAAATGTGCATTACTACGGCAACCCGATGGGAATGAATGAAGTTTAGTAAGTGAAAGTGAAATTCAATGAACAACATATAAGAATACAAACAAACGAGAATATTGTGAAAGGCACAACGTTGGAGCAAATATGAAGCCGCTGCGTTGTATAAAATAATCTCCTCCATTTAGACTAACATATATACATGAGACCATGAGGACAGCGAGATCATATTGAAAGTTGAGCAAGTGAATTATGCGTAAAGTGAACATCCATGACTATTGAAGGGCAAACGCTAGAACGGCGTGAACGGCGCATAAGGCAATGGAATCGGCCTGAAATAGAAGTTTCTCTCCGAAGAAATCAAAATGTAGATAGAATTCAACGTACAGCGGCCCAGCTCCACTTTTCACTCCACTCGAGATGATTGAAATCGATCGAGTAGTGAATTTCGATAACTGCAGAAATGCCGGCTAGCAATGAACAGAACACCGCGCTTGGCATTTCCTGTAAAATAATCAAATTTTCATTAGAGCGATGGGAAAATGGAGACAGACTTTGTAGATAGAACCACAGATTGACAATTAAAGGTCATTTTTATCTTAGCATGACTTTGCTATTGATTTAAAAAAGTTTTCCTAATTCAGCCACTGCGTGGGAGATTCCGATAGATAATGGCAGCAGGACGTGCCCAGGGACTGGGGCGCCCCCCCCCCCCCGAAATTGGGTCGCGGAATTTATAAAAGTTATTTTGGGTTATAAGAATGTGTAAATGACTTGTTTGTACCTGTAAATAATCAAGCTATTTTTTAATATTTTCAAAATTTAAATTTAGCCCTATAAAGGATTTTTTCGGGGGCATGGCGTCAGCCACGCCTCCTTTTTCTGAAATTCCGGGCTATGGGCCGGTACTGGCCATAACTTGATACCTGGTGATGCTTTCCGAATTACTATAGTTCTTCTTATTTTTGCAATATTTTTTCCTTTTCTTTTTCAAATAAGGAAATTAGTTTGATTCTTTTTGTAAGTTCAGATTTCATAAATTAGCCACAAAAGCTTCTCTGATTATCAATAAAAATAAAGTAACAAACTTATGAAGCTTCAAGAGCGGATAATAATTTCGTATGAACACAGCATTTCCACATTCATAATCTTTATTCCTCATATATAATTTCGCTAAGGGATCAACTTTTCAGATCATCTTTTAAACCTCCAGATACACACCCCTCTGAAGAAAACTCGAAAATCGTTTGATTGTAAATGTCCATGCTCTAGCTGCTCATTTATTCTTGCCTCCCTTCCTCATACTCGCTCTTTGTGCTAGCTGCTTAGCCTGAATAGATTTGAATGCGTAATTGGTTCGCGAAGACGTCATCAAAATCTTCATTAATCCACAATTATTGACCGGAATGCTCATGTGTTCATTTCAACACTCCCATGCGCTTATTGGCTCAATCGCAAATGACTTCCGGGGAAAACTGAATTTCTAAAACTTCCGGAGCGGACGCTCCTGTTGGGCCGTGTGGGTGGGTCGCTTTTTACCTGGCAGCTCCAATAGGAGTGTCCCCCGAAAGTTGGAAGTTCAGTTCTCCCCGGAAGTCATTTGCGATTGTCTGAAGAAGGGCATTATGCAGACAAACTAAGCCAGATCTGTGCATTGCGGCAAGCTGTCAAAGAAATTTTGATTGCACAAATCTTCAGTTCCCTTCAGGAACTCATTTAATAGCCCAGTTGTTCAAGAAAAATGATTGAAATGTAATTTGATTAGGTAGTGATCCAGTCTTAATAGAACTTATTCTTTAGAACGTATTTTTCACTTGCGCGAAGTCGTGAAATGCACAAACGCTCTAAGACTTTACCGTCAGACCATACTACCAAAATCAATATGATTGAACAACAAATTTATCAAGCAGCTGAGCGTTTATCGCTTCAAAATAGGTAATCAGTTTTGAGTTTTCCGACTACAGCCTCCGACGCGTTCTGAGAACAAGAATTTTAGTAATTTCTTCAAAGCTTTTGCAAATCAAGAAAAAATCCTGTCAAAGAGGAAGAAGCTATATTGAATGATACCCTTGTTGCTCGCCGATAGATTTCTGTGAGTTCCGTGATGCCCAAATACGTTTGGTAGCATAGAAGAAACATTTCGAGATTTGAAAATCCGGCTGTGGATGCCAAAACAGTGCATTGTACTGCACTTTGTTTACTCTGTTCGGCCGTTATCAAAGCTCCCCCAAAACTCCGAAATGGAGATTCTAAAAAAGCTAAATTTAGATGAGTGAAAACATGTGTTGAAGATTCTAACCATTAGTTGAGCGGTTATGAAGCTCTTGAAACAAAAACATCATTACTAAAAAGAAGAAGAAATTCTGCATCCAACACTTTTGAAATTGTCTAATGTCATTATAGGTGATTCGAGCATAGGTCTGAAAAACGGCACGAACTTTTGGACCGACCTATATCTAGAGTTCTATGTAGCAGAGTTTCGAGAAACTAATAATGTTGCACTAATTTTAGCTCTGCAATACATCCCATCACATTTTCTACGAGCATCATTTGCCGAATGGGCTGCCTTTAGAAGTTTGTTGTGAGTATAGAATCGAGCAAAAACTTCACTTTTTATTTCTCCCTCTCCCAGACATGTCACTTGCGATAGAGATCGGTGTCATTGCAACAAGCTCAAGACTTTAGATAAAAAAAACAAAATGAAATAGTGGGATTACATTTTTCAAACAACCTCTATTTTACGTGTTTGATAGAGATATCAATTTTCTTCAGTGTTGTTCGTCATATCCGTAAGCTAATATCGGTGTGCACACATGCTGACGTACATGCGTCCTTATGTGATTGACGGTGTTTGGCAAAAAAAAGAACACTTACCATGCAGTTATAGGCTATTGAGCATGGGCTGTTGATGTAGAAAACATTCGTGACCAGCCAGGATAATGAGATCATGGCAATGAGCGGAGCCGTCAACATAGGAAAGTACTGAAAGAGTATCCGTTGAGGCTCTGTGAGCTGAAATCATGGCAGAATAAAAGTGGTAAAAAATTGTTAGACAGTTTTCCCTTCTGGGGACTCAAGCGAAATAAGAATGAGACTTTTGCAATTTTATATGACAACGAGAAACGTCGGTATAGGCCGAAACGCATCCTTTTCAACGGACCGCCCGGTTTTTGAATACGGTAGACCATACGGTCTGTAATTGCGCTCCCAAATTTGGATATAACTAACAGAATAGCGTACTGGATGCGATGATTTGTATGTATTTCTCATCTATCTAGTGAAATTGAAAAGGAAATACAAAGGAACTTAAACAACAAGTATGCGTAATAGAAGATTCCTTGGAACTTTTCACTTTTGATTCCGTGGGTATTATAAGAACTGCTTCTGAATGTTTGAATTTTGAAAATAGAATGCGATATTCAACGTATACATCATTGTGAATCACATTATATTGCATTTTCTTCTATTTTCCAAATTTGTAAAACAAGATCAGTCACTTTCTTCAATTGAAAGCATTTGATATAATATGAAAAAGAAAATGAAATAGCCTTGCGTGGCTTTAATCTAATGATTCAATAAAGTTCCTTGACCAAAAAATGCTTGTGAATACATTTTTTGTTCCTCTTTCAAGAATTCATTGTTTTTTCTGCATTTTGAGACAAGTAGCATTATGAATGCAGACTCTCTAATTGCTCCACTTACTATTGAAAAATCGAATTTGAAAATTTTGAAGTTCCTGAAACATACCTGTGCATACTGTCGATTCCTTTCCGGCCATACTATTGATTCTCCACATCGGTTGTAACGACAGTATATTCCGGACCAATAAAAAAGGAAGCCGGAGAATAGCTAAATAATGAATTTCAAAAACAAAGGAAATTATCCAAATTGTTTATTTTGAAATTAGATCTTTTGAATAAATTCACTGTAACTCATTTATATAGTTTTGATAGCGTTTCTCAAGCTGAATGAGGATTGCTGTGATTCTCAGCGAGACATTTCCCCACTTATTAACTAAGGAATGGCTTCTCATGTGATCATACAATTCATAACAATATACAACTTTGGTCCAGAGTTTTATCAGGTGCAGAAGCGCTTGGAGAAATGAAAAGAATATTTACAATAAAATTTTATCTTAAGTATAAATGGAAAGTCTGGATTTTGGTTCTGCACAAATTAACGATGAAGATAAGAAACAGAATTCTCCTAGTAAAATATTCTATTTTTTCAGAAAAATCATCACACACATTTCCGAACTATACCCAAAATCTTTTACTACTAGCTGGTTACCTGAAAGGAAGGCCAAATGTCTAGCTAAGTTATTTCATTACTTCTGCTCTAATTAGAAACTTTGAAAAATTAGCTAGAAAGAATTTCTAACACTCTAGCTCTCTGTCAAATTATGTTAATCAACAAGATAAAAACACATACAAATTTCCTTCCAAATTGGTTTTTTAACCCCCCTTAAAGATACTTTTTTGTCGTTTTTTTTGCCCTTAGAATCGGATGAACAGTATTTGAGTTGTAATCTGAGAGTGCAACATTCACACAAACAAACGATACTTTTGTCTTTTAACGAGACATTTTAACCTTTCTTATTTGCCATGCAATTAACCACCCACAAAAGCTCGTGGGAAGTGCATAATGAGGACGGGAGTGTATGCGATTGTTGGATTTCGCTTTTCTAATAACTATAAAGTATAGACAGGAGCTTGTGCAGACTACAAAAAGCTGATATAATTTTTACCTCATACAAAATATGCAGAGCATGAGAACAAGTATAACTTCTACAGGGCCCAAACGAGAATCACTGGTCCCATTTTATTTTCAAATTCAGAAATTTAGCATCAGCATTTTGGACATTATGTCGTGGATTGTGCTTTGTGAGGTTTTTGAAAAAAATACGCCATGTTCTTTGTATAATACGCCATGTTCTTTGTAAATACTTTCTCTAGTTCGGTTTCATAATGATTTGCTCTCTGATCATTCTTCTTGGAAATATGTTCAATGGTGGGTTATTTCGATGGATTTTTCTGCAAATAAAGCTCTGAGTTGCTACGTAACGATTCTTTGTCCCTTGCTCTTTCACGCAGTATGCTTATTCCACTGAATTTGAGATGATCTTTGTTGAGTATAAAATCTGTTGAGCTTTGGCGCTTCAAATAAGTGGGAAAACCTGTCCGAAACTCATGAGACTAACAACTGCAAACTTCAATCTGTCACCCACTTAATTCTTTTCTCTCCCTCCAAAACTTCCGTGCTAACAAAAATTCTGAGTGTGTCCTTTGGAACACTTATGTAGGCGAGCCAGGAGACTTTTGCAAGTAGCCATCGTCTTGCGCGTCATAGCAATTACGTCCGGTTCAAAAAAAAAAACTGCTGACATTCTATGGGCTTATCGGTTATTTTCAGTTATTTTATAATATAATTCTACTAGATGGCTTACCCGGCTCCGCCCGGCCCTGTCATTATTTTATTCGTAATCAGCATGCTCGATTGTACCAACTACCTCGATTGTACTCTGTACCAACTCCCAGCCCCGTAGCTCAAATTTTGCAAAATATCGATAAAATCGATATCGATCGATGACGAAAAGTAGCCTATGACACCCGCCGGGGCCCGAAGTGTATGTGTGCCAAGTTTGGTCCGGATCGGTTCAGAAATGGAATTTTCTATTCGGAACATACGTACAGACAGACATACAGACAGACAGACAGACAGACAGACAAACAGACATTCAGCTTTATATATAAGATTTCGGAATTCCGTTTTATGGACATGCATGGTTGATATAAAGAAGTGAATTTATCACAGCGAAAAAACAACTACGAATAAGCAGAGTTACTTACTGTATATGAAAATGAATAAAAATCAAGAAGAAAAAAAGCCGTCGCTTTTAGTTGTTTGAGATTCATTTATCATACGAAATTTTGTCATTAAAATAATGTTGTTCCTTTCCACAAAAATAATTGAGGAATAATAATTGTTTGATACACTTTCTTCTGGAAAGGTGATCTGAGCCACCAAAAATAGATCCTGACAGTTCTTTACAATTCCAAATAAATTACTCTTATAGCACTGAAAATAACTAGCATATCTCCAGAACTGGACTCTTTTGGAATAGTGAAAATAAGTAGCATATCTCCAAGATTTGACTCCTTTGGAATAACTCCTAGTAACAACAAGTTCTAATCATGACGACAACATTTCATTTTGGTAATGTAACGACAAACTTTGGATATTTTGGTACAAGATATAAGTTTTTGTAAATTTTATTCTCAATAATTTCCATACCATACAGAATATACGCATTTGCTTTTGAAATCGATACTAATGATTGCAATTTATCTTACTAAAAGAACTCATACTGCTGAGAATTGCTACAAACTTTGTTTAGGTACTACGCAATATAAGGAGATTACATTGAAAGCACTAGCAATAAGAGAAACTGATTACAAAAAAACTCACGATAGAGGTTATGTATAACACAAGTGGTAGTTTATAACGTGGCTGTGCTTGACGGGGCTTTAGAAAAAACGATGGTGCCATGAATAAACAACCTGAAGCTGCGATAGATTAACATTGCGAGACTTTGGCATTTTCACGAAAATCGAAAAAGCAATTGCGGGCGAGGTTTCAGTCAAAACTCTGACGAAGCGAAAAGAAAGTGATGGGAAATCTCATTAGCGTCAAGCAAAGAAAGTGAGTTGGCAACAAGGCGAAGGCAGACGAGAAGTGCATTGAAGTCGGGGGCGGAGCTGCTTTGGACAGTTGCCAAGAGAGCTTTGTGCTCAGAGAGTCATGCTTGCGCCCAGGGATTCCTCTGGATAATCTTTGCCGTGATCTTGGGATTAGAGTAGCAGGTTATTGCATCGAGCAGACATGGATTATTCACGTGAACAAGATTAATAAAAAATATAAATTTGATTTTGCAAAGTGGCACTTGAGCGCAAGCGCAGCAGCGAAAGAGATAACGAAGTTTGAAGAACGGAGAAGAGAAAAATCTTGACATTTTGGCAAAGGAGAGGATAGCTTGCAAATTATTTTTTTAGAGACAATCCCATCAAAGCATTACTACTAGATAATTTCAAATTTCTTTTGCCACTTTCGTACTACGAATTGAATAAAATTCGTCGTCAAAACCCGTTAGTCGAAATGGAATCTTCTGTATGTTTCAAATAAGGTTCATTATAAAGTTTATACATTAACTCTTTTTGAAGCAAGTATTTGAAATGAACATTTTTTTCCTGACTAGGCAGCATAAGCTTTGGTATAAGGATTTTGAAATAAAGGTATTCAAGATCGAATATTTCTTAGTGGATATCAATGAGGTCCAATAAAATATTTTCGAAGAGATAGAACTTTCCCCAAAGATAAGTATTTGAAATCGAATTATTTTTGAGTGGGCATCCGTATATGGTGCAATATAATGCTTATAGATACAAAATCATTTCGACAATAGATTTTCACGATCGAATTTTTTTCTCAACTGGATATCTGGATAGGATACTGGACAACTGGATGGCATAAAATTCGACTAAATGCAAAATACATTTCACCCTTTTTGAAAGATAAGTAGTGTGATTATTAAAACACTATAGACAATTTTAAATTCCTTTTCCACTGAAGTTTATTTTGAAACTCTTTTGAATTGCTTCTTCTATACCTGTATACAATGTAACAGCTGCATTTCTTTTTTTATAATTTTAGTAAATTGTCAGATTTCAAACCACTACCCGGCTACAACTGCATAATTCCAGACAGCTGAAAATTCGCTTGATGCTATGCAAAAACATGCTTGTTTATTCATCATTTTCACAAGGAATTCGTTTGTTTTGCGCACAATAGGTTCTTTTATTGTCTGCATTCTCAGACTTCATACGTGATATATGACCGTAATAAACCTTGTGACCAGAATGAGTTGTACTTGCAGTAGGTTTGTACTTCACGACCTATTAAACCCATTATTAATTGGGTTGTCTCAACAATAAAACCTTTTTTTGATAAATCAAGCTGTTTTTGTTTTTCTAGCAGACCTAGGGCACCATTCGATAGAGCGAAGCAAGTTCAGCAAGTTCTACAATATAAAAAGATCTAACTAAGTCATCAATTGTATACTGCAAGCCTTATTAAGTTCTAACTTCAGAATTATACCTCTGTAAGAGCCCTGATGATTGAGAAAAACCAAGTTCAACCTTTAAAACCGAAAAGAGAGACTTTTTTGCATTTCTTGAGCAGTTTTAATTTTCTTACTTTTGAGCTCCGAATAAAAAATCCAGCAAAAAAGTTTTTGAATACTATGCTATGTCTGTCGTGTTATGACCAAGTTACAGGTCCGTAAAAACATTCTGGAAGGGAAGCCGATTTTCAAAGTAACTGAAAAATTAGTTTTTAACTCCAAATTTTACCTGTATTACGGCTCAGGTGGATCTTGTGGATCTTGTAGAGCTTGCTTCGCCTTATGGAATGGTACTTTGAGTCCGCTAGGAAAAAAGCTGATCTATCAAGAAAATAGTTAGAAATAAATTTTGCGGAACTATACTCATTTACGTCGAATCTCTAACGAGAGTTTGTTTCCAGCATTTTTTTCACACGCGGGAATTTGTTTGCCAGACTAATTATGATAGAAATTTGCAATTCTATTAGCTACTAATCCTTAGGGAGTAGTGTTATTCTGAGATTTATTTCTATCCCATGATCACTCAGTTTTTGTACTCTTCAATGGCAACAAATAAAAATCCTTTGGATAATACTAGTTTTTTTATGAATTTTGTTGTAAAGAAATAAACGAAGGAGCACGCCCTCGATTGACTGTGCCAAATCCATTACTGTCATATCATTTGCGTTTCTCATATAACTTTGAAATCAAACATTCGCAATTAGCAGTTCCCAGGCCGCAGTCTACTGTGAGAATATCTCTTCAACTTGACGTAATTCGTTACGAACAATCATCGAGAACTTGAGGATGGTTAAGCTAACGGATGCCAAAATTTCCTCCATGTTTCAAAGTCTTTCTTTAGTTCTACTTTCTGCCAATTAACCCATGATTAACAATATCGGGGCGATAATGGAAGAAAATGAAATTTGTACAGAAGCATTGTACAGAACAGAAAATTGCAAATCTCTGCTTTCAACATCTATTTTGCATGCAAAATGTTAGCATTGAAATAGATCATGGAACAGACACGACTAAGAAGACTCGAGCCAAGCTCGGACCGGGAAATTCTGATAATCTTCGGATTGGGGTCTTAGCTCGAGCCGTTGCGAAAATTCAGATTAGGTATGCCTAGAGGCTCATACACGTGAATAAGAAAATAGCGAAGAAGTCAAATTTTAGAGCATAGCATATAGGGCCGAAGAGGATTCTGCAACGAGCAAAGGATCTGTGAAAAACAAAATTTTAACTCCCAAATATCAGCCTCCTAATTTGATTATTTTTGCAATGGCAGGCTGACAGCTCTGCGAACAAATATGATATCGGATCAGCTGCTTATCATAGCCGGTTGTCAATGTTCCAGTAAGTCAGATTAGGGCTAATTATCTTCTTCTCACCCTAACGAACCTAGGGACGAGCAGCCTGGACCTGCGTGGGATACGATGGGATACGACTTACCTTTGTGTGGCCACTTGTTTGCGGAGATTTAGGTATCCTTGGATCCTTTGCATTTAACCGAGAAAATCTTTCGCCTTTTACTAAAGATTTCCGTGCAAAGGTGCATTTTATGAGTATCGAGTAATTTCTGGAATCCCCTCGAAAGAGCGGGATGCTTTGAGTGGCAAGGTATAAAGAAATGAATCTTCGGAGAAGAACAATATAAACTTAACCAATCTTGCGACGCATCTAGAAGAGATGGCATCATAAACTGTGACCAGTTTTCGCCTAACAAACGCTTTTTCCAGATTCAAGTGGGTTAGGTAAGCGTACAACATCATAAGAAATGTTTCCTAATGTTTCCCATTGGAAGACTCCGAAGTTCGTGTCGGACACTAGAATACCGTGTTTTCCCTCTCGAGTTCACCATCTGTATTGGTACTTCATCTTTGGCAAGGAAGCACACCAAAAACAACTTGGATTCGCAAAATTTTTATGGCTCCAGTCTTGACAAGCTCCCCTAAAGCTGCATCTAGAGAGCTAATTGAATCACATATCATCTTTTGAAGCTCGAATTGCAAGAATTCTCTGAAAAATAATTGAATTTGACATAAAGTAGCGCAGACATTCTTTCGAAGATTATTATTAGGGATCCTTGGCTGAAAGATTATCTTTTGTGACAAGAACACCCTGATTTCTGATATCAGCAGTTCCCGGAAATGCAAACAAGAGACGTTTTGACAAGTGTAGTTTTGAGTTATGAATCTTTGCCAAAACAACATTGCGGGAAAAAATTTGGTGTAAGATAATCATCTGACTAAGAGATCACGAACATGGATATTACTAGCTTTCTAGCACAACTTGAATCCATTAGACCACTTCCAAAAATTCTGCCATCTCCAAAAAGAAGTTGTTGTGCGATAAAGATATTTAAACGTACCAAAGTTAGCTGAAAATAAAAGTCGACTTTATGTGCAGGGGTCTTGTTTAAAAGGCATAACATCTTGTCCAAGAACACATCCTTTTAAGGTATTTTAAAATTTTGGAAATTTTCCGTAAGTGTAAGTATACGAAAAAAATAGAATAATGAGATCACAGTAGGCCCTATAGTAGTAATAGTTTCTTTTGTAAGACATCAGCAACTATGCATTAGCAGATCCACAGCTGTGACTGTAAATGACATATAGAGTCGGTATAAGTAAGTGAGCATGAAATGAGCTTCCTAAACCGCGCCATCTTTCCTTTTTCTCCCACAATTTTCCTTCAACTATGAGCACAAAAAGAATCATGATCAAAATGAGTAATCCTGCAGCGGTAAAGAATAAGAATGTTTAAGGCTTTTGCCATGCTCGTTATGAGGCACTAGCATTTTTTTATTTTCATTTCACGGCTTCGATAGGCTAATGTTACATAGGCTAATGCTTTCTAAAGAGGTGCAATTTTCTTCACATGGGAAGCTTCCATGGGAAATTGAAAATGACAGTAATTTCACTGGAATATGTTAGAAATCAAGCTGCTCAGCGCCCGCTTTCAAAACTCATCTTTCACAACAGACTTTATCCCGCTCTTTCGAGGGGATTCTAAAAATTATGAAGTACTCATAAAGTGCACCTTTGCACGGAAATCTTTAGTAAAAGGCGAAAGATTTTCTCGGTCAAATGCAAAGGAGCCAGAGATACCACGACAACCTATAGCAGGTAGGGGAGCAGTGGGAAGTCGTACCTTACGCGGGTTTGGCCCTGCAGGTCATCGAGGCCACGTAAGTTGGCAAGGGAATTTGCAGGTAATTTACACATTAACGAAGACGCCTAACTTTGCGCAGAGGCGCTGTGAGACGACGCGATTTTGCACAACACTCTTGGCGTGGCAAAGTTTTGTGTTTATTTACGAAATGCAAGGTTGTTTTGTAAAGAACTACAAACATTTTGAACGACGGAGACTACAGGTCTCAGGAGTG